CCCATGACGACCCGGTCCTGCTCTCCCAACCGAACCGAGAGTGGCAAGAACGGAAATGCTTGTAGAACAGATCACCGCCATCAACAATAAACGAGCGAACAAGTCAGTGCGTTCACCAGCGATAATTTTTTTTTTAATTATTTTTTTAAGCGAGAATTGTTTTTTAATTATTATTATTACTATATATATCGTCACATATATATCGTCACAAACAGAACCGCCCGGTAAACCGTAGGCAGAGAGAGAGAAGAGGACAACAAACGAGGGGCTGTGGCAAACTGTTTCGTCGGAGTTTCACCGACTCATCAGGAGGCTGAATATTTTTAGGCGAGAATATTTTCGCTTTGGCAGATGGAAAGTTGTAAACTTTTTATAGAAAAAAATCCAAGATGCACATCGTCATAGCGCAGTTCGGCTGCCGTCTTCAACCGAACACAACGCACCCTCATGCCACACTGTATCGGACCAGAAAACAGCTTGTATGCATTCATAATCACGGTGCCTTGGGTTCGGCTGACGACAGTAGTACTACGGATTGACTGACGGAATTGGGAGAAGCAAACACATTTACCGTATAATACTAACGCCAGGCATCATGTTCCTTCTTCGCCAGGCATCATGTTCCTTCTTTGCAAACACCCCCCCCCCCCCCCACCCCAACTTGAGAGTGGAATCATGTTTTGCCGATATTAGGCGAACCGATATTGATACTTTTACCTGTGGACCCTGTCAAAGAATACGAAGCCTCCTCTCCTGGGATTGAGAGGTTGAAACAACACAGCGCAGTAAACCCAAATTCTCTCCCCTTTTTCTTCTTTTTTCTTTCAAGAAAACTTTGCTCACTTTATTACCACACAAACGGGTAGGTCGGAAATTCCTCCACAAGTTAAAAAAAAAAAAACAAAAAAAAAAACGGGAAACAAGATACTGGGACCTCTCTCCTACAGGCAAAAACGTTTATTAATGGAAGTGAAAAGGCATATTTAAAAAAAAAAAAAAAGGCATATTCGTTCCGGCACTCCGTCAAAGGTCAAACATTACCAGTGGACTCGGTTCTGAAGGGACGATGTGGTCCGTTGGGACAGTGCTGTCCCATAAGGAGCTTCTCTCAATTGGGCGATGGTAGCCCGGTAGCCGCTTTAGGCCGAGTAGCATATAGGTTAGGTAGTGTAGAGCGTAGTATAGGTATAGGTTAGGTAGTGTAAGGTGTGGTATAGCTATTGGTTACGTTGCGTAGCGTGTAGTATAGCTCTAGGTTTGGTAGTGTAGGGTGTAGTATAACTATAGAATAGCTAGTGCAGGGTGTAGTATAGCTGATAACTGGTATGCACTGTGCAGTGGTTTGGAGTTCTTGAATTTAGCAAATGAATTGAGACAGATGGAAGCATGGTACTTGTGTTGTTTCGGTCCGCTGGGACGTAAGCTATAAACTGGCTGAGGCTGCCAGGATAACTCCAGGCGCACGGTTCCACTAGCAAAGGAGTAAGGTAAACTGTGTCCCACAAACACCTTTGGGACATCTGCGGGACATCGTCCGACCACTGATGCAGGAGAAT